GGCTGTGTCTGGATGTATGGAGGATGAGGGGGAGTTGGTCCTGGAAGGGACGCCTAAGGGGCAGGAGCTTGAAGGAGGCTAAGGAGCCAGATGGGCGTCCAAGTCGAGGAAAAATGAGAATCAAGTAAAATGGGGAGTTTCGAGATTCGATTTGGATTCAAATCAAGAATGGAATGGAACAGGTGCTTGGAAGTTTCGCGGTTTGTTTGGAATTCGAAATGGAACTGGTGCGGAACTGTTGAGGATTGGAACTGGCACAGAACCATTGAGTGAGGATTCCGCGATCCTGCTGTAAGGTTTACACCAAGCATCAGTCAGATTAGCACCATAAGCTTGTGTTATATTTTATATTAGCTTGTAGCATGTGTATATAGGGAAGGAACTGGGAGCTGGAGGCTTCTCAGTTCTGTTTTCTATCAACCTGGCCAATATTAAATAAAAGAACTTTAAAATTCATATATTTATAGTTTGAGTTTATTTAAAATATTGCCTAACTGCAGCCATGTTTGGCTTGAATCAACAAGAATTGACTTTGAGAGTGAGCTTGGGAGAGCTATTGCCTCCCTTTATACCTTGTCTTGGAGTCAAGGCATGTTGCTGGGGTTAAGTATATTTGCAACTGTCTTCCAGGGGGTGCTTGTCCAATCTTGTAGCTCGCGCACAAGGAGAGTAGTATCAGGAGCCCTGTCAGCCCTATGGTCTGTAACATGGATCCTGTTGCCCAACTCATTCGTGGCTCATTGGAAGGAGTCAGTGCGTTACAGGGCAGTGCCAATAGCGCAGCTGGCAGGGATCATTGGGGCTGAGTAATATCAGCTTGGGCTGACTCCAAATAAGAGGTAGCTCTTCAATTGGTATGTTCTGTCCTTGAGGGTGCATTCAGACTTTATATTGACATCATCCATTGCCAGATCAGTCTCCATGCGTTGATCCCAAGTCAGTCATTCTTCCTGATCCCATTCTTCAAACTCTCTAAATTGCTTCAGAGTGATAATCTCAGTTTGTAGCTCGCAAATTAAAGTCCAAAGCTCATTATTCTCAGCCTTTTAATCTCTGTTGGCATCTCATAAGACTTGTGTGATATATAAAGCATGTTATTAGCCTCTAAAGCTTCCCCTAAACTGTTAGTTAAAGAAACACAGATGGACTTGAGGGCGTCAATGTTGTGATGAATGGCCATCTGCTGGTTTTGGAGATTTCGTAGTTCCTCCTAAATGGTGGTGGTCACTTCAGCCATGCTTCTGATATAATGGACAGTGACCCGCATCTATGGTTGGGTATACTGGCTGAGCTCCTCCACTGATTTGGATTGTTGAACTTCTGTTCTTGCATTATTTATCGCGTTTCTAGCTTCTGTCTGGAAACTATTAGCTTCATTTACCCAAGAGGCATTGACGCCCCATTCATTAATAGCCTGATGACTGATCTAAATCACATTAAGTTTATCTTTACCAATAAGGTCATCCAGGCGCTGGAATTTTAATGGATGAGCTTGTGATTTAAGTCACGGCTTTCTGTACCCTGTGAAAACTGGATTAAACTGATTGTGTAAGGAGCGCATTGTGTCCACATTTTGTTGGTTGCTGCTAAAAGACTCTATAATTAAAGCTACGTGATGAACAGTAGCTATTTGGAATTTTCTCACGGTGGGCTTCAGGTATCCATAATATATATTGCTCTAAATGTTTAATGCTACTCATAAATGACAGAACTTGATTGCAATTCATGATGCATAATTGTTCATAATCCTGCCATAGTTGTCTTGGTTGTATTGCTAGTAAAATAAGGAGGGTATAAGGTTAGCCAACTCATGAGTAGTATACTTGAACCATCTTAGAAACATTTGGCCGATCTGCTTTATCTGCTTCTTAAATAAGGTACATGAGTCAAATTCTTTGAAATGGAGAGAGTAACCTCATCCTATTTAGGCGTGAGCCAGCTGGGAAGAATTAGGTGGGTTGATATCAATATGCGAGCTTGGTTATTATGATTGTTTCCATCTCTAGTGAGAGACTCTATTTTATTGGTAAAAAGTTAATTGAGCAGGCGGCCCCTGTAGAGAGCATCATGATGTAGAGTGTGAGACAAGCACTCTATGGGCAAATGTATAAATATGTCAAGGAAATCCTCCAATCCTGCACAAGTTACACTTCTGTCCCACAACATGGTAAATTCTACATAATATTATACTGAGCGCTATATGATACTCGATAACCCTTTGACTCTCAAAATAGCAAATCTCTACTTCAAGAGAGACTTCCAATAAACTAAGATAAATTTGGGCAAATGGTTATACTTAATTGAGATAGAAAGGATGGGTATTTATAAGGATTTCTTTTCCATAGAACATCATTGTTTATAGAATATATAATGATTATTGAGAAGTACTATGGGCACAAAGTTTACAGTGAGGAAAATAGATATAATTATGCTCATTTATGGGGAAAGGTTGATCTAGAGAGTAGAAATCGCCTAGTAAAAATCTGGAACTAATAAGGAACCTGGAGAGTAGGGTAATCGTTAGAGCATCTGAGAAGAAGTATGATCATGTTTGTTATTGCTCTGAAATAGACGTTCAATAGATTTTTTAATTAAAGTCAAGTTAACACCTTTGACAATAGCATCCCAGCACTATTCCTACCATATGGGCTAGCCTTCAAATGATTCTACGCCCTGCAGGGATGGACAGTCCTGAGGGTCCAAAGTAATTTGTATTTTTGGAGGGCTTCAAGCTGGGAAAAGGTGTACATGTAGTTGGGCAAGCACACTACAGCAATAAATCACCCAGGGATTCTCATACACTGGGGATCTTTTCTACCTCACTTATAACTAACTATATCACAATACACTTGAAATTTAATAAGGAAAAGAGTGAAATTCTTGAAATAAAAGCCAGCCCTTAAATAAAGTGGTTGGGACTTGGATGTTGCAAAGAGAGTGACTAAAGAATAGCCAGTATGAGGAGTATAAGAAGAATAGGGGTGTGGGGCTTTAGACTTCTTGCTACCTCATCAGTAGCAATTAGTTAAAAAAAGAATTTTTTGTAGGATGTGTGTTGGGCCACCATGGGGGAATCACTGGCAGCGCATTTTTCTGAAGGAAGTGCTTCAAAATTCACTTTCAAGGGTAACCTTATGACTTATTTACTCCTAAATTTAAACTTTACAATCAAGAAATTTATTAGTAATAGGCATAAAAATATTTTTTAGAGTAATCAAGCGCTATTTATAAAGCTCTAAAATGAAAGGAATTAAAGAGGGATTCTAAGGGAAAGAGTCATGGGACCTGTAGGAAAGTTCCCATACTAGAATAGGTGGGAAATCTTAAGGGGTTTAGATAAAAACTAGGAGTTATAAATATATTTCAACTTCGGAAGAAGTCAGGAAAAGCCCTGAATTCTGTATATCATTTGAAAACATAGAGTCAAACTCCATTCTCAAACTTATTAGGCCAGTTGGGAATATCAGGAGTTGTGCACCTCATATGAATGTGTTGACCTTCTCCCTGGACAAGGCTTTCACCTAATTCAGGGGGAATCCCAACAATGTGTCAGGATAAAGGGGTGTTATACCACTCGTCCTTTATTTTTGAGGCCAGGTGACCCTAAGTTCTTGGGTATTGGATTATATGTTTTACTTTCCTTGGCCAAAAAGTCTTCACTCAGGATACAATTACTTGAGTGGTAAATCCTAGAATATTATTTCGTCCCTAAATAATTTAGAGGTAGGCCAAATTGTGAATGGCAAAAAGAGAGTAGCCTTTATTTTGCTTAGAAACATTATTATATGGGAGAGCAGGGAGTTTTTCTTGGTAAATATCCAAGCGTTCCAAACCAAGATCTATAATTATTACCAAATTGGGGATTCTGTGGCATGCTGGTCACATCTGTCAGACACAATTCAATCGCCATATAGATCAGTTTTGAGCCCCAATATTAGGGGTTTTGGGTGAGTAATATTAGATTGCCCAGGTTGGGGTTAACTCCTGATATTGAAAGATCTTATATTTATTTAGGGATAATCCCAAATAATAAGTTTGTCTATTTCATTGGATCGGGTTCAATTTCCTTAATATGACACACACAAATATCTGATTCAGGTAGGAACCCCGTCAACAACCTCTAGATCTTGGCGCAGGGGGAAATGGCAGAAAAATTGACTGTGTATGCAATTTACCATGGTGCCCTGAGCGACCTCCACAATTGAGTGTACATTACATTGTTTTTAAATAGCTTTGTAGGGCTCCAAACATTTGGTTCCCAATTTACTAACATGACCTCAGGCCTATTATTGTAGAAAAGGACTAGGTCACCCTGCTGGAAGGTTTACAGAGGTTCATGCTTGTCATTAAACTAAATAGTTTCTCTATTAATGGTCACAGTAAGTTCCTTGGAAGCCAGATCATGAAGTTAGGTAATCTCATTGTTGATTCTTTGGATAAGTAACTTTAAGGATTTTGGAGAAGCTTGATCTAACATGGCATACACCTTAGAGGGCAGCGGGGGCTTTCTTCCATACAATTCTTGAAAGGGAGACATCTTAATAATTTGATGTTAGCTTATTCTATAGGCCAGAATTGCACTAGGAAAATATTGGGGCCAATGGAGAGGGTCAGTCGTGGCCACTTTCCAGAGAGTTGAAGTTAGAGTACCATTCACCCGCTCTATCATTTCGTTAGTTGCAAGATGGTACAGAGGGGAAAATACTTTTGTGGATCCCATAAAGTCAGCTAAAACATTCACCAGCATAAATTGGAAATTTTGACCATTATCAGAGAGGATTATGTTTTATTTATTTAAGGCAAGCAGACCAGGCGGCGGACATTACTAAAAGCGAGAAAGAAAGCATCAACATGAAATCTGAACAGGGTCAACTCTGTCAAAGAAAGTTTTCCACCTCTGGATCAGGACTCGGATTTTTCTGGTTACATCATGGGTAAGTTTTTCATGTTTTTAGACCTAATAACCACCAATAGCTTTCTTTGGCTGGCACCCCAATCAATGTGCAAAGGCGGGAATCGAACCCACAACCTTCAGGTTGGTAGCCATATGCCCTAACGACTCACCTTCCACACCCTTAGATAAAATTATGTTAGGGTACCCATACTGGATGATAATTAAATTTATAAAAACGTGGCAGTAACTTTTGCCAAAGCAGAGGGTAAAGATACAGCTTTGGCCCAATTAATAAATGATCCACGGCTAGGAAGAGTAACTTATGACCATTAGAATCTTGAGGGAGAGGTCCCACAACATTAATCAATAGTATGAAAGGTTTAAAAGGGTGGCACCACTGGACGTTGAGGTTGGGGATTATTTCCAGCTTGACTTTTACATACCAGGAAGGACTCTAATACATCTTGGTTTGAGACAATAATTCATTCCCAGAAACATTGAGTTTTGAGCCACTGGTAAGTTTTCTGAATTCATATGTGGCTGTTTTGCAGATTTCCCTCCATTATGATTTCAGTTCAAGCCAAGGGTCGTATATAGGGCAACCATTCTCAAGCTACAAGTTTGTACAATTGCCATTTTTAACTTGAAGATTCACAGATTTTTTCATGATTTTTAAAGGGTCTGGGATTTTTTTTACATAAATGCGATTGAGATAAGAGTTTGCAGAGGCAATCTTCCTCAGGGTCAGTTAGAGTTAATATGGGTAGCCTGAATAAGCAATCCGCTTTTTAGTATGGTCCCTGATTGATCAATTATGAAAAAATCATATTTTTGAAGTTTTAAGCCTATTGAGCTAACCTCCCATAAGGATCCTTCATTTGTTATAGACATTTCAAGGAATCATGATTGGTAATTATGGCAAGATGTTTCCCATATGAATAAGGTCAGAATGCTTATTAGCCAGCAGTACCGCCAAGCATTTGCATTCCATAACTCTTTTGTTGCGTTCAGCTCTGGTTAGGGTTTTGCTATAATAGGTGATGGAATGATCAATCAAGTTTTTGTCATGCTGAGATAGTATAAATCCTATGTCTATATCGCTAGCATCAGTAAAATGAGAAAAAGTTCATTATAATTAGGATGTATAAGTACTGGAGAGTGGGAGAGAGTGACACATGATAGGCCAAAGGCCTGCTGTTGCTCTTCTTTCCATTATGAGGGTATACCCTTCTTCAATAAGTATACTTAAGGCTCAGAGTTATTGGAAAAGTAGGGAAAAATTGGAGATAATATTTTATCATCCCTAAAAACCTGTATATCACGTAGGGATTTGGAGGGTACATCTTAGAAATAACCATAACCTTGTCGTCCAGAAGGGATATTCCAGATTTACCTACCTTATGGCCCAAAAACTGTTTTTTCTCTGGAAAAAGAGCATTTTGATGGCTTTAGTTTTAGCAAAGCTTGCCATAACCACTGGAAGTCTTGCCTGAGATGAGCTATGTGCTTGGTTAAGTTTCTCAAAAAACATTAGTATCGTCAAGATAATAGAGCACAAAGGAGCGTTTCAAGTCACCTAAAAGTCCATCCATGGCGCATTGGAAGGTGGCAGGGGCATTACATAACCCCTACGGCTTTTTAGTGAGCATGAATAGTCCTTTGCTTAAAATGAGGGCGCATTTTACAATCTTCAGGTGAAAAATAAATTTGCCAGTACCCACTGGTGAGATCCATAGCTGAAAATAGTGGAACCCTGACATTAAGCGTAAGAAATTGTCTATATGCAGCAATGTATAGCTATCTTTTTGTGTAATAGAATTGAGTCAGCGATAATTCATGACAACATAGTGATCACCAACCTTCTTCCAAATTAATAAGAGAGGGGAAGCCTGTCGTGACCATGGGTGTGATAACACGTATCCCTTAATAATTTTAGGCCAGGGGACCCAAAGCTCAAGGGTGTTGGATTATACCTATTGTGCTTCTCTGAGTTGAGAAGTCTTAATCCAGATACTTAGTCTGGATAGGCAATTCCCTCAATACATACTAAGCCAATGGTCTATTTCTCATTACCTAATTTATTTATTCGCCGCATAGATTGGGTTTGAACCTCAATTTTAGGGCTTGAAATTAGTTGGGGATTATCCCCAATGTAGAAAGGCTGTGATTTTCGTTGGGGATTATCCCAATGATTTCCAGCTTGGGTTTGATTCCCATCATCTGCCTTGTCCAAATCTCCAATCTGGGTAGGAATCCTGACAATGCCCCCCTCTAGATCTTGGCGTAGGGGGAGGAAACGGATGGAGAAAGTGACTATGTACGTGGTTTACTATGGTACCCTGAACGACCTCTACAATTGAGTGTTTGTTGCCTCACCTATAATAACTTTGTAGGGCCCCAACCAATTGGTGCCAAATTTGTTATCATGACCTCCTGGCCGATGGTGGTAGAAAAGGACTAGGTCACCCAGCTGGAAGGTGTGCAGAGGTTCATGTTTGTCATTAAACTGACTTGTTTCTCTACTAGTGGTAGCAGATAAGTTCTTGGAAGCTAGAGCCTGAAGTCAGATTTTTTTATTGTAATGCTTCACATAGTAACCTCAGGGCATCAGGTAAAGATTGATCCAAAATGTCCTGCACTTTAGAAGGCAGCAGGGGATTTCTTCCATACAAAGCCTGAAAGGGCGACATCTTAATTATTCAGTGATAGCTTATTCTGTAGGCCAGAATCGCACTAGGCAAATATTGAGGCCAGTAAAGAGGGTCAGTCATGGCCATTTTCCGAAGTGTGGCAGTTAGGGTACCATTCACCCACTCTACCATTCCATTGGTTTCAGGATGGTATGGGATGGAAAATACCAGGGTGGATCCCATCAGTTCAGCTAAATCATTCACCAGCAATGATTAGAAGTTTTGACCATTATCGGAGATAATTATGTTAAGGCACCCATGCTGGGTGATAATCCAATTATATAAGAATGTGGCGGCAGCTTTTGCCAAAGAAAATGATAGTGATACAGCTTCAATCCACTTAGTTAAATGATCCAAGGCTAGAAGGAGGAACCGATGACCAGTAGAGGCTTGAGGGAGAGGTCCCACAACATCAATGCTAATAGTATGGAAGGAGTTGCAGGGTGGAACCACTCAATGTTGAGATTGGGGATTAGGCCCAGCTTGAATTTTACATTTCAGGCAGTCTCTCTAATACATCCTGGATTGAAACAAACATTCCTTACCAGTAGCATTGAGTCTTGAGCCACTGGTAGGTTTTCTGAATATCCCTATGGCAAACTTGCCGATGTCCCTCCAATATGGCATCAGTTTAAGCCAAATGTCATACATAGGGCAACCATTTTTGGAAACAAGTTTGTTCAGTTGGCTGCTTTTGACTTAAATATTTGCCGATCTTTTTTTCTAATTCCTTTTAAATGGTTGGGGATTAATCTTTCCAAAGTTGCATCTAAGTTTGGAGGTTGTAGAGTTGATCCTCTTCAGGGTCAGTTAAAGTCAATATGGGAAGCTGGGATAGGCAATTTGCAAGATGGTGTATTGGCCCAGGTCATTGAATAAAAGAGAAGTTGTAGTTTTGAAGTTTTAATGCGCATTGGGCTAACCTCCCATCAGGGTCCTTCATTTACTGTAACCATTGTAAGGAAGAATAATTGGTGATTATGGTGAAATGTTTCCCATATAATTAAGGTCAGAAATGGGTAATAGCCGGTAGTACTTCCAAGAATTCACATTCTGTAATGCTATAGTTGCATTCAGCTCTGGTTAGAGTTTTGCTATAGTAGGCGATAGGATGCTCTACTAAGTTTTTGTCGTTATGCAATAGTAAGGCTTCAATGGCTATATCATTAGCATTGGTAAAGAGGAGAAGAGGTTTGTTAAAATTAGGAAGTATAAGTACTAGGGAGTTGGAGAGAGATGTGTAGCAGGCAAAGGCCTGCTATTCTTCTTTCCACTGGAAGGGTATCCCTTTCTTCAGTAATATACTAGAGGCTCAGAGGTGTCAGCAAAGTGGGGAATAAACTGGTGTTAATATCCAACCATCCCCCAAAAAACTTGTACGTCTCATAGGGGTTTAGGGGGGACAATTTGGAAATAGTCAGGACATTATTGTCCATTGGGGATATTCCAGCTTTCCCTACCTTATGACCTAGAAAATCCATTTCATTCTGAAAGAAGGAGCATTTTGACGGCTTTAGTTTTGTGTACTTGCCGTAACCTCTGTTAAACTTTCCAGAGATGATCTATGTATTTAGTAAAGGTTCTTGAAAACACAGTAATATTGTTGAGATAAACTAACACACAAGACCGTTTTAAATCACCTAAAAGTTCGTCCATGGCGCGTTGGAAGGTAGCAGGGGAGTTACATAACCCCTGCGTCATTTGAGTAGCTCAAACAATCCTTAACTTGAGATGAAGGTGCATTTTTCCAACCCTCCGGAAATACATTAACTTGCTATTACCCGCTGGAAAGATTCATAGCCAAAAATAGTGAATATTGACATCAAGCATAAAGAGACGTATATACGTGGCAATAATAGCTATCTTTTCTTGTGATTTAATTGAGGCGGCAATAATCCATGACAACACGGTGGCCACCATTTTTTTCTATTTTAATAAGAGTTGGGAAGCCTATGGGCTTTTAGAAGGCATGAGTAACCTGGCTTCCAACAGTTGCTGTAGCTCCATAGCAACTTGAGCTTCCTCAACTTTGGATTTGCGGTATGGACGGCATTTGAATGGAGGGTGAGCCTCAGTCTCAATTTGATGAATTACCCCAGACATTTTACCGTAGTCACTTGGTCCAGAGGAAAAATATCGCCATACTCCTCAAGAAGGTCTTTGACGTTCTGGCGTTCATTAGGGGTAAGATTGTACCCAATTTGACTGTCAACCAGAGTTATGATGGATAAGGTTTTAATCTAAAATCTTGTAAAGAGCAAAAACAACTCACATCGGCGATATTTTCAATTGGACACAGTTTAAAATAAGCAATAGGTGCATGATGAGGGACTAGTAGATTTTGGTTCATTAGATTCCCTAATAAGATAGAGATAGATTTTCCATAGGCAGGATCCAAGATCCCTAGACAGGTCAATACTTCTTTGATTGAAGGGTTTGGGTGTCCGCTTAGCTCCAAAATTTGATTAGGAGGGGTGAAAATCTTGATC